CTAGCCTTGAGCTGAAGAGCTGAGGGACAGCGCCCAGGCCCAGAGTTCAGGCCCCATGACCAGATCCAAAAAAATAAATAGAAAAAGCAATAGCTAAGATGCAGATTTTTGAAGGATGAATTGTTTGCAATGCATAGTCTATTCAGCCTGGATTACTAATGCATCCACATTATAAGCAGCTTCATCATTTAGAAATAGTTTCACAGCCCTGCCATATAAACAGTATGTCAAAATCTGGGTGCTAGCTTTGATCATGCCTGTAACTGTAGTTACTCATCAGGAGGCTGAGATCTGAGGGATGATGGTTTGAAGCCAGCCGAGGCAGGAAAATCCAAGACTCTTAATCTCCAGTTAACCAGCAAAAAGCCAGAAGTGTTCAAGTGTTCAAGACTTGAGGGAGAAAAAGTTCAAGGATGGCACCCAGGCTCTGAGTTCAAGCCCCAAGACAAAGCAACAACAAAAAAATGTTAAAAAATAAAAACCGGGACGGGGAAGGTGGCTCAGTGGTAGAGCGCTTGCCTTGCATGCATGAGGCCCTGGGTTCGATTCCTCAGCACCACATAAGCAAAAAAAGCTGGAAGTGGGACTGTGGCTCAAATGGTAGAGTGCTAGCCTTGAGCTGAGGGACAGCACCCAGGCCCAGAGTTCAGGCCCCACGACCGGACCCAAAAAAAAAAACAAAAAAAACCCCAGAAAACCCTAGATGCTGAATTTCTAAAATTAGAAAAATTGAAAGCCATCCCTTTCTGCTTTAGTTTAAACAAAGAGCCAGTAATATATCAAGTTTCTCTGGCCAGAACAAAATGGTTTATAAGGCAAACACAGGCTAAACACAAGAGTAAATAAAAACCTGAACATGGTTGTGCATTCTCATTAATCCCACCTATTCATGAAGCCAGTAAACTAGGTGTGGTGACTCATACCTACCATCCCAGCCACACAAGATACATAAGTAGGAAGAGGGTCTCCAGGCTGGCCTAGACAAAAAAAAAAAAAAAAAAAGCCAAGTTCCTATCAGGAAAGTAAGTAAAAAGGACTGGGGCATGACTCAATTGGTAGAATACCTCTCTAGCAAATATATATGTGAGGCTGGAGTTCAAACTTCAGTACCACAAAAACATTTGTTGGTGGTAGTGGGTAACCTTCGGGGGATTTTTTGTTTTTGTTTTTTTGAGACAAGATCTATGTTTGAGGCTGAGTTCTGAGAATCATGGTTCAAAGCCTGGACAGGAAAGTCCATGAGGTTCATGTCTAATTAACCACCAAAAAAGTCAGATGTAGGACTGTAGTTTAAGTGGTAGAGTGCTAGCCTTGAGCAAAAATGCTTGGGACATTGTCCAGGCCTGGCACCAAAAAACAGAACAGAGGTACAGTAAATGTATCAACTTTGACCAGATTAAGGAAATGCTGGAGGAAACTCAGATCCAAAAGGAAAAAAAGGCAGGGAAATATTTAAAAAAAAGAAAAAGAAAAAGCCAATGAGCTTAATTTCTAAAATCTGAAAAATACAGTTTAAGGATCGAGGCAATGATGCTTGTGTACCAAAGACTCAAAATCGAGAATTAAAGATTTTGGTCTACACTTGTTAACAGGAGATTCAAAGGGCAGAGCAAATGAAAAAGTGGAAAGAGAGACTTGAAAAAAAGTATTATTCTACAGAAACTCAAGATGACTACCAGCCTGTCACTCAGCAAGAATTTAGAGAGTAAGCATGTATTCTTACCAGGGTACTATGGGATACCATGATATGCAGATTAATGCTGTTCCATTTAGAAGCTTATTCTTTCATATGCCTCTTCTATTTTCTGCCCAATTTAAAGTAAAAGCACATGATCCTATTATTAAAATCTGAGAGCAACTGTATCTCTACATCTATGAAAAAAGCGACATTTATATCTTATGACACAGCACATTCTGTTCTTCATATAGCTTTAGAATTCTAAAGCTACAACTGGTTATAAATAGAATAAACCTATCTTCTCAAAGCATTTCACAGGGGACTAGTAACTTGCCATTGCTTTACTAGATTTACTGATTCTCTCCTAAATTATCTTCTAGACTCTTTTTATATACTGTGGAGCTGGAGAAAGAATTACACTACATCAATTCAAAACTTAACGGAGTGATGAGAAAGCTTTCTGCTCTACAATACTAACACAGTGGAGGTAAGAATCTGTTATGCAATCATGTAGCGTTTCTAACACTCATGACTGAATTATTTCTTGAAAGTGTCCCCTTTTCAGACTTTATTTGCATGATAGGATAGACCAGGGTCCTTGCTCATAGTAGTCAAGTGCTGTGCCACAAACTGGACACCCAGTCTAGATTACGTGAGAAACACAAACCACCTATCATTTATTACAATAACCAGGTGATTTTCAGTGATTAAGTGCTGCAGAGTGGACAACCCATTGTACAATCCATGCATGTTACAAGTTTACACACCATATTTATGAGGCTTATTAAATTCTATTAATGTGAAGGAAAGATACAAAATAATGCTTTATCAATGTTTGTGGAGCAGATAAGATGGTTTTTTCCCTAACAGTATATTAACACTTTCAAGTACGCCATGTCCTTATGTTCTGACTTCCCTTAGCTATAAATATAAGACTCGGATTCTAGAAAACCATTATGTACCACCCATAATATCTCTCCTCTCCCCACTACAGTAAAAGTATAGAAGAAACTTCCAGGCAAGTATAGAAATTTCACTGTACCTTCAAACTAGAAATTCCTCTAGCACATGTACAGTTTCCCCAAAATGAAATAAGTGTAGCCATAGCAGGGTCATAAGACATTGTTTGCAAATTGCAACTAAAGATGCTGCAAGAGCTATGTTTAGATAGTTGTAAAGTATGACAGGTTATTTTGGAAACTGAAGGGGAAATTTTATTCCTAGGAGACATACCCTCCTCAGCCATATGTTTCTTAGCTCAAGCAGCAGGATCATTTGACTAGGTTTTATTTATTGCAATACTGAGGTTTGAATTCAGTTAGAGCTATGACCTCCCCAGTCCTTGCTTCAGTTATTTTTTTCTAACAGAGCATTGTGTTTTTGCCTAGGCCAGCTGGACCACAATCCTCCCACTTATACACTTCTATCATACTAGGCTGATAAGCACATGCCTAGCTTACTGGTTGAGTAGGTAGTCACAAAAACTTTTTATCTAGACTGGCCTCAAACTGCAATCCTCCTTATGTCCACCTCTCAAATAGTTGGAATGCCACCATGACCAGCTTAAAAATTTAAAAACATTTTGTGTCTGCATATTAGGATCTTACATTAGCTTTTTTGCTTAAGGCTGGCCCTCCACCACACGCAAGTCACACTTCCATTCCAATGTCTTGCTGGTCAACTGAAGATAAGAATCTCTTGGACTCTTCTGCCCAGGCTGACTTCAAAAAGTAATCCTCAGATTCAGCCTTTCTGGGTAACTAGGACTTACAGGTGTGAGCAGCCAACACCTGGCCTAGTTTTTATTATTGTTTATTTTTGTGGCAGGGTCTTACTGTTGCCCAGGCTGGCCTTGAATTCCAGAGCCAAGTGGGGCTCTTTCTGCCTCTGGAGTAGCTTGGACTACAAATGCATACCATCCATCTGTGCCCACTAAATAAAGAATTTCAGAGCTACCACCCACCTTCTTAGCTAAGCTCTTCTCAGACACTGTGCATAAGGTTCTCTTAATGTGGTCATTCACTGCAATAAGAAACAGTGACTATTCTTCCCAGAGCTTCTCTCTATATCCACACCTGGGAAGAAATCCATAGTTTTTTCTTTCTTGCCTTATCACTTCAGAGCTGTGACCAGCCAAATTGTTTAGCAATCCTTCTGTCCCTGGACATGGTCCTGGGTGGAGGCAATCCCTGAGGCAATTCAAATAAGAACATTAAGGCAAATGGTACATCTGAGGTCTTAATGTTTTTCTTTAACACCTATTGGGAAAACAAATATGCATTTTACAATGACTTAGAATATTAAGGTTCTTTTATTACAAAATTCTATACAATGAAGTGCCAGACACAGCAATACAATTATTCTGGTGGACATATATATCTATATATGATTTGTATATAGTTTTTATTGATACCAATGTATAACTATCACAAACTGCCTAATTCTACCACCTACAGTTCAACTATAACACAAAATACTGTACAAAGCTTAAGTGCTGCCATGCCATTGTTAGCTATTCTACTCACAGCTAAATAGTAACAATATCTAACATCAGGAATCAGCTGTTAATGCTAAAATCAAACTATTCAGGCCACTGACTTATAAAAATATGGTACTCAAATAGATTCAGCATTATAAAGAAGGAATATATTATTTAAAACATTTAAATAGTGCACATGGACATTTTTGCATGTGGTATATAAAATAAAACATTCATAAAAAACAATATTATAGTGCACATAAAATTAGATGTTACACTGGATAGTGAAAGAAAATTAACTGAAATGTACACCACATGATGGATTCAAATCAAAATGATACAATTTTTTGGCATTTTAGTTTTACTTTCCTAGGAATACATTATGAATAACCTAGTTGTATCAAAAGGAAACCACACAAAAATGACTGGATTTAGTGCTATTTTTTTTCTTTTTAAATCCCCCAACTACAAATTCACTACCACTGGATTTTCCCTCCTCTGAAAAAGGCATTCATTGCACACACATGAGAAATATAAAATACTAGAAACACTATTTATGCTACTTCGTGTGCTTACTATTAATAGTGCCAAAAACCTGAGGTTCATGCTTCCCTCATGTTATTAAAGGATGCTGTAAAATTTCATTCTTGTATGAGACAAACTTTTAATATTAGTTAAGAAACCATGCATGAGCCACTGCATGCAAACATGGGCACAAAGTGAGACACTCATCAATCCATAAAAGCACCAGGAAAAAAAATTAACACATTAAGCTTGAATCAAGTCACCATTCCAGAAAAATTAGAATACCTGAAAAAAAGGCATGCAAAGCCAAAGAAAAAAGATGCATGACAAGGGGTATACCACTCACTACAGATCCTGTAAGCACTGCTTTAGAAAGCATGAATGAGAAAAGGTGTTCACTTTATAGGGGACTCTTTGTCCACATTTTGGTAATTCAGACAGGGGAAACAATGCGGCCCCATGAAGGTACATGAAAAACTGCAGTGGTGTATAGCCCTTGTTAAGAACAGATTTTACTTAGGCATAATTATTTTGCCAATTTAGGCCCACTTGATCAAACACACAAATCTGAGCACCATCAGAGTTCCTACATACTGACATGGCTATTTTCTCACATTATCTGGTGTGTGTGGGAGTGGGGTGAGGGAGAGGAAGAGCACAAGATCTGATCTAGAAAAATCACATCACCAGCTGATAAACAGTAACTTAGGAATAACAGTAACTTAAGTCCTATAGGCAGCATGTGATATGATTCACTTCTGTGTTTGATGTGTGGTATATTTCAATAGACAAATAAATTAGCAAGGTCACTTTTTGGTCTACCCATTGTTATCTTCATCCAAGAGCTAAGTGACCACTGAAATGCAAATTTTTGCTACCATACTACCTGTGCGAGTGTGTCACTTTTGGAATTAAACAGGAAAGTGTTCCACAGTAGGACTTGAAATTTCAGTCTGATTTTGGTTTCTCTAGGAAAACAGAATAAAGTTGCATATGTCACTTTTATAGGCTTTTCTTTCAAATTTTCAGTCATTCTGTAAGAAAAAAGGCAACCGAAGAACTCAGCATGAAGATTTTCCTCTCAATATTCTTCAGTAATGGGAAAAAAAAGTAAATAAAATATTTGTATTTCCAAAGTTCTTGAAGTTCAAAGGATAAATCTAGTCTTTTGCTTAACAGGATGTATCTGTAGTAGAAAACAATGAAGGAAACGGCTTGTTTGCTAAAGGTGGAGAGACAGTCTTATGGTTAATATGGAACATCACACTCCCAAGAGAGGGCCTACTTTCCCTCCCCATCCTTTGTTTAGTGGCACCACAACCAAGTACAAAGTGAGATTCTCTGAGTGCCTGACAAAATGAACTCAAGTACCAGCCAACAAGTTAAGTGATGATAGCTTCAAGGAATACAACTGATTTTATGATGTGAATTTTCAAGGAACGTATTTTTATATGGACTTTGAAGAATCTTGTTTGCTGATAAGAACTTCAAGAAGCCTAAGCTTGGCTTTAATTTTCTTGTATTCCTTGTATTCTTCAAGCACTGGAACACGATCCTCTTTCTGGGCATTCCTAGGAGAGAAAATAAAAAAGTTGTAATACTCTAGTAACCACCTGGAAAATGAGGACAACTTCTGAAACTTCAACTCCGTTACTTGTCCTACGTTATAAGTTGAAATAAAAAGCTACTCTGTAAGAAAGAAGGTTATTGGACTGATTCTCTCAGACCTCTCAAATTTCTGCTCGTCTTTTAACCAATTTTTCTATTAATAATGCTATATTTCTTATCAATGATCAAAGTAAACCAGAGATTACCCAGCCACTGCTACGTGCTGCAAAGCTAGATTTCATATACTGAATTATTAATTTGTGGCTCCATTAACCTGTAACAAAAGTTTAGTAACTTTAGCCTGGCGCCAGTGGCTCACGCCTGTAATCCTACTCAGGAGATTGAGATCTGAGGATCACGGTTCAAAGCCAGCTCAGGCAGGAAAGTCCACTGAGACTCTTATCTCCAATTAACCACCAGAAAACTGGTAGTGGCTCTGTGGCTCAAGTGATAGAGCGCTAGCCTTTAAGAGCTCAAGAACAGTGCCTTCACTTGGAGTTCACAACCAACAAAACAAACAAAAGATTAGTAACTTTAAACAAGCAAAAAAACCTCCCAATTTAAAGAAAAGAGAAAGCATTCCTGAAGGAATTAAAATGCATTTAGAAATTTAAGTGTTAATTGGATTAACCTCATTTCTGACAATCTACTGGGATTTTTTTTTTAAGAGTGTCTCTGTCCCCAGGAGCCAGGTACATGTGGCTCACACTTGTAATCCTTTAAGAGTGGTTTGAGAGCAGAAATTACTGAAATTTCAGTCTCTTCTCAATCTGTAACTGAGCACAGAAGCACCCACTCATCATGAGAGACTGGAGGATCATGGTGCCAGGCCAGCCCAGGAAGAAAAGTCTGAGAGACTCCCTCCACAGAAGGGAAGCTGGATGTGACAGTATGAACCTGTAATAGTAATGATGACAGGAAGCCTGTAATAGTAGGCAGATCATAGCTAGACATGTACCTGGGAAAGACCATATCCTAAAAATAACTAAGGAGAAATTGTGCTAGAGATCATGCATGAAGTCCCTGAGTTCAAACCTACAATACAGAAAAAAAAAGTCTCCCCTCATTTCATATATGGGCTACAATAAAAACAAATGTCATATTTTATAGAAGTCACATTTCAGCTACACTGTTCAAATCCTAGAAACAAAACAAGCAGCTCTACCTAACTAGTAGAGGATACCACTTCTATGCTGGACTCTTTCTAAAAAACCACCATATCTCATTTCACCACTGCTTCCTAAGGGTAAGGAGGCAGAGTTAAATATTAAACTCCCTGGGTTAGGGAGGCAGCTCTGTGGTAGAGTGCTTCCCTAGCATATGAAAAGCCCTAGGTTAAAAACGAAAACAAATTCAATGCACTAAGACTCCTTAGGTCAACCTTGAAATATTTTATGAGATGTTTATTCCAGTGCTAATGGGTCTTGCCTGTAATCTTAGCTACTCAAGGAAAGTGAGATCTGAAGATTGAAATTCAAAGCCAGCCAGGAAAACTAATCCATAAGATTCATCTTCAATTAACCAGCAAAAATCCAGAAGTGGAGGTGTGGCTCAAGTGGTACAGTGCAGGTTTTGAGTAGAAAAAGCCAAGCAAGAGCATAGGGCTCTGAATTCAAGCCTCAGTACCAGCACCAAAAAAAAAAAAAAGGGGGGGGGGGAAGGGGCTTAAGGGGAGATACTCAAAGCTTTGACTTTTTCTTGCCACTAATAACAGCAGAACTTCAGAGCATAGGGAATGTTATAAATTTTTGTCCTTTTTTTTGGTCTTGTTTGGTACTGGAGATCGAACCCAGGCCGCTGTACTTGCTAGGCAAGTGCTTTGTCACTAAGCTACATCCCAGCCCTAAAATTTTATTTTAACTTTATTTATTCTGACAATGACATTTGAACTCAGGCCCTCACAATTGTGAAAAGGGTACTCTACAACTTCTACATGACAAAGGACATAGCTAGCAATGAGAGATCTTTACTTGCTATGCATTAGACAAGGGCCTCATATATACTTAAGAGTTCAAAATATACTTAAGAGTTCAAAAAAGCTAAACTTCAAAAAAAAAAACCCTCAAAAATGTAACAACCCAATCAATAAACAGGCTAAAGCCTTAAGGAGAGACTTTTCAGAGGAGGAAGTTAAGAATGGCCAATAGACAGACACATCATCTCTGGTCATAAAAGAAATGCAAATCAAAACAAAACAGATTCCACCTCACCCCAGTTAGAATGGCCATTATCAAGAATAACTATAATGCTGGTGGGAATGCAGCCAAAATGGAACAATATTACACTATTGGTGGGAATGTAAACTTGTTCAACTATTCTGGAAAGCAGTATGGAGGTTCCTCAAAAAGAGCTCCCCTATGACCCAGCAATCCCACTCCTGGGCCAGTGGAACACAACAGGGCCACACTAAAGCTGATCAACCAGGTTCATTGCAGCATTATTTACCATACCAAGATATGGAATCAACCCAGATACTCCTCAAGAAAATGTGGTATATATAGAAATGGAATTCTACTCATTCATCAGAACAACATTGTACCATTCATAAGGAAATGGAAAGACTAGGAAAAAGTTATACTAAATGAAGTAAGCCAGAGCCAAATGAACATAGCACAGTTTCCCTCATTTGTGGTAACTAGAATGTGACTGTAAATCTACAGGTAAGCACACTGAATGTTAAAAAAAAAATACACACACAAATACAGGGACATGATATATTACCTAGGACCCTATAGACATTCACATACTAAGGTCAAATGAGGATATATATAGGAGTGATTGACAAAGGCTCAATAGCTATATGCATATGATCACATAAAATAATGCTTTATGGCCAGGTGCCAATGGCTCATGCCTGTAATCCTAGCTACTCAGGAGGCTGATATCTGAGGATCACGGTTCAAAGCCAGTCTGGGCAGGAGAATTCTGTGAGACTCTTATCTCCAATACCCTACCAGAAAACCGGTATTGGCGCTGTGGCTCAAGTGGTAGAGGGCTAGCCTTGAGCTGAAGAGCTGAGGGACAGCATCCAGGCCCAGAGTTCAAGACCCACAACCAATATATATATATATATATATAATTTTTTATGAAACTAACTCCAAGAAAAGGAAACATAATTTTTGGTCGCTGTTATGTGCTGCTTTTGTTTTCCGTTTGCCTTGTTTGTGTTTGGAAGGGTAAGTGGGGGCACAGAAAAGGTGAAACAAAGGGTGAACAAACACAAGAGTGGCACTCACTAGACATTACATGGAAAATGACTATACATCATGTGGGTGGGAACAGAAGGGAACAGGGAAGAACTGGTAGAGAGCAAGGGAAGGGGGGCATGGTTTAAAAAGAATTGTACCTGATTTCTGTAACTGTAAACCCTCTAATATATCAACTTTACAATAGCAATAAAAAAGAAAGAAAGGAAGAGAAAGAAAGAAAGATAGATGCTCTACAACTTGAGTAATACCCCAGTCCTTTCCTGCTCTCAGTATTTTCCATATAGGGTTTCACTTTTTACACAGACTGACCTGGCCCCCAATCCTATCTTCACACAAAGCTAGGGTGACATGAAGACTTTGTGCTTGGGCTAACCTCAAGCCTCATGTTTCTCTACCTCCTATGCAGCTTTGCAAATCTAAACCACTGGGTCAGTCAAGGTAATTTATTTCTATTTCTATATGTTTTAACATATTGGCACTTTGTAAACTAAAGAACAAATGTGCCTTTATTTGTCATGTTCAACTAACCTTCCATTTTGTTGATAAAATGCCTCTTCAAATTCCCGTAATGTTTTGCGTAGTTTCTTTTTCTCAGCTCTGGCTTTCCAAAGTTGTTCCAGTAATTCAGGCCTAAAATAAAGTAAAACATTGTGTGTGTGTGTGTGTGTACATGTACATACATACATAGTACCAGGGCTTGCACCAAGGGTCCTCCAGCTCTAGATTGACATTTTATTCACAGCTGATATTCTATCACTTAAACCATGCCTCCAGTCTGACTTTTTGTGCTAAATGGAGATAGTCTTTCAGGCTTTTCTGACTGGGTGGCTTTCTCAGATCTTAAGCTTCTTAAGTAGCTATAATTACTGGCATGAGCACATGTCTTCTTAAAGAGTAGTTCTACACTTGACTGCAAATTAACATCACTTAGTTTTTAGAGCATTAACAATAGCTAAGCTCCACTCACTATAAACCAAGTTTGTCAGCATTAGTAGGCCCTGGTGGCTCAGGCCTATAATCCTAGCTACACAGGAGGCTGAGACCTGAGGATCGCAGTTCAAAGCCAGCCCGGGCACGAAAGTCTGGGAGACTCTGTTTGTTTTTTGGGTCCAGTCATGGGGCCTGAACTCTGGGTCTGGGCGCTGTCCCTCAGCTCTTCAGCTCAAGGCTAGCCCTCTACCACTTGAGCACAGCACCACTTCCGGCTTTTTTCTTTTTTGCTTATGTGGTACTGAGGACTCGAACCCAGGGCCTCATGCATGCAAGGCAGGTCTTCTACCACTGAGCCACCTTCTCAGCCCCTGTGAGACTGATATCTCTAATAAACCACCAGAAAACTGGAAGTGGTGCTGTGCTCAAGTGGTAGAGCGCTCACTTTGAGCTGAAGAGCTGAGGGACAGCGCCCAGGCCCAGAGTTCAAGCCCCATGACCGGAAGAAAAAAAAAATCTTCCTACTTGATTGTAAAATGAGTAAGGTTTGAGAACCACTATGTAGATACAGAACTAATGGATAAACCTTCAGGTGGTTCCTATACCTTTAAAAAAAATGTAATGAGAATAAAAATGTGTTTACAAATCACTGTTTGATTCTTTTGTTGTTGTTATTGGTCCTAGGGCTTGAATTCAGGGCCTGGGCACTGTCTCTGAGCTTTTTTTGCTTGAGGCTAACACTCTTACCACTTTGAGCCACAGCTCCATTTCGAGTTCTCTGGTAGTTAATAGAAGATAAGACTTTCCTGTCCAAGTTAGCTTTGAACAACAATTTTCAGATCTTAAGCCTAAGTAGCTAGGATTACAGGCATGAGCCACCAGCACCCAGCTTATTCTCTTGTATTGATACCATTCACGTAATTGTTTAACATAGGATTTCTTGGCATATTATTCAAATAGGTAAAAATCACAAATCAGATACATACATAGAAGCTGCTCGGGAACTTGATAATCGAAGATCCAGAGCTAGTTTTTCTTGATTTTCTTCAACATCAGACTCTGAGTTTTCCAATGAAGACTGTGCCTGTACAGCTGTTTTCAAGATATCACTTAACTCAGAGGACAAACTAACACTATCCTCCTCTTCTTCTTCCTAAAAAGAAATCCAAAGATAACCAAACATAGCATTACTTACAATTTTCCCTTTAGGATTACAAGCATAAGCCACTGATTAGAAATGGCTTCTCTAAATGATTACCTTGATTTCTTCAAAAAAATGTGCAGTTTCTCCTTCTATGATTGGCTGTAACATCTGACCCCGTCGCTTAGTAGAGGGAGAACCCTGTAATAACCAAACAAACATCTTTACATTCCAAGAATATTCACTTCTTACATTACAGATATTCAGCTTTATTTTCACCTGGGGTGGTAGCAGTGGTGGTGTATTCCAATGGACTGCTTAGCATGCCCTGAGTTCAATCCCCAGTACTAAAAAAAAAAAAAAAGTATAGCTGCTCAGGATAAGTTCTGAGGACTGAGGTTCAAAGCCAAACTGGGCAGATAAAAATGGTGAAACTCATTTCCAATTAACATCAAAAAGCCAGAATTTGAGATGTGGCTCAAGTGGTAGAGCACTAGCCATGAGCGAAAAAGCCAAGCAAGATCTGGAGGTCTTGAGTTCAAGCCCCAGTACTGGCATCAAAAAATTAAATAAAGGACCAGTTGTGGTAGTGTATATACCTAATCCCAGCAAGTCTGGAGGCAGAAAAGTCCATAGGTGGTTGTCTCCAATTAATCACCTAAAGTCAAAAGTGGAACTGTGGCTCAGGTGGTAGAGTACTAATCTTAAGCTCCAGGAGAGCAACCAGGCTCTCAGCTCAAAGCCCTAAGACTGGCACCACTTAAAAAAAAAAAAAAAAAAGCCTCACAGACTTTCCTGCCCAAGCTGGCTTTAAACTATGAGACTCAGATCTCAGCATCATAAGTAACCAGGATTACAGGTGTGAGCAACTGGTATTTGGTCTACTGAGTTTTTTGTTTTGTTTTCAGTAGTGTCTTGACTTATACCCAGGCTAGTTTGGTCTTCAATTCTCTTACTTAAGAGCTCAACCAAAGATATAATTTAAAAAAACTAAACGAGGAGCTTGTGATATCCAAGTTTTTTCCTTTTACTGCTGTCACTTGCAAAGTAGGTAACTTTGGGCACATTATTACCTGAATCTCCATATTACAAGCCTATCATATTCTGTCTGTTGTGACTTTACATGTTAGGATTCAGTAGCATAAACTATACATAAAAATGCTTATAGGTAGCCAGACGTTGGTGGCTTACACCTGTAATCCTGGCTACTCAGAAGGATGAGACCTAAAGGATCATGGATCAAAAACCCAGCTAGAGCAGGAAAGTTTGAGAGACTCCATCTCCAATGAACTAGTAAAAATGCTGTATTAAAAGTGATTACAGTGCTACAGTACTAGATATGAAGAAGAAAGCAGGGAGAAAGCCCTAGTTCTAGACCTGTAAGTAATGCACATATACCCACATAAAATACTTACAGGTCTAGGACATGCATGGCTCAAGTAGTAGAGAACCTACTTAGCAAGAATGAGGCCCTAAGTTCAAAGTCACATAGGGAGTTGGGGGAAAATGTCTGGAAAATAGTGGTAGACACTAATTTCCTCTAATCTCAACTTTAAAATTACCTTTTTTCTACCTTACCTTTGTATTTCTCCAATATACGACTAAAAGCATATAATTTTTGACAATTACATCTTGGTAAAATGAACTAGAGAAATATTTGATTTACTTACAAGGATAGGAGTGATGCTAGCTCTTGTCAGCATCTGTTTTACAAGTCTGTATCTATCATAGAGAGGTTTAACAATGTGCCTTTCTTCTCTGGTCACCTAAAGCCAAAAAATAGATAGGTCACATCATCATAAGAAATTTAAAATATCCAAATGATTAAACCATATTAATTTTATATAAATAGGTAGGCAATCTCCCAAATATAGGAAACAATGCTTTATAAACACTTCTGAAGAATATAGACCACAAAAGTGATGAATGCTCTTTTAGCAAGAGATATTACCGGCCTTCCATGTTGACTTTCATAGTAAAGTAGACTTTTCTGTAGAGAAGTTTTCTCTTCTACTAAATGGTCTTTTGTCATTTTCTAGAATTAGAGAAGAGAAAAAAAGTGAAACATTGACACCAATATTATTCTCACTCCTACAATATAAGTTATTAGGGTGAAAGCATAGACAATCAGCATTCTAGAATATCACATTCTCTGCTTATCAATGTACAAGCAACATTGCACATTTTGCCCAATACCTAGGTATAAATCAAACCATTAAGGGGATGTTAATTTTTGTGTGTATGTGCTGGTCCTGAAGCTATAACTCAGAGCGCAGGCTTTTTTGCTATCACTTGAGCTACATACTCATTTGTAGCTTTTTGGTGGTTAACTGGAGGTAAGAGTCTCACAGACTTTCTTGCCCAGGCTGGTTTCAAAGACAGCTTCAGATTTCAGCCTCCTTAGTGGCTAGGGCTACAGACATGAGCTACCAGTGCACAGTGCACAAAAATACTTTTTGGTAAGTTACTTAACCTCTTCATATTCAGTACCCTACTCTGTAAAATGAAAATACTATAGTCAATTTTAATATGCACATTTTAACTCTAATATGCATACATAATTACATATCACTTAATGTTTATTATAGTCTTTTGTTACCATTAATGTAAGAGGTAAACTAAAAATTATTTTTTGGTTGGCCTTGTGAATTAACTAAAACCTGGGCCCTTGGACAGCATCTCAGCCAGCCTAAACCAGATGCAGCAGACATTGTTTTGGAACATATTACCTCTACACCCCTCCCTAGCCCCTTCTAGTTTCAATAGCCTTTCCATGACCCTCTGCAGAGGGTTCTGCAGAAGGGGCTTAACTAAGAATATTGTGGTACACAACAAATAAAATTTTACCTTCCAGAATATGTAATTATAATAGAGGCAACCAATCAGCCTTCAGCTCAGGGTATAAAAACTAGATTCAGAGTAGAGTAGGGAATGGGGGAGGTAACAGAGACATTTTTTGCTTCAAGAGAAAATAGAGGGCTGGGAAGGGGGCTCAGTGGTAGAGCGCTTGCCTTGCATGCATGAGTCCCTGGGTTCGATTCCTCAGCACCACATAAGCAAAAAGAAAAAAGCCGGAAGTGGCGCTGTGGCTCAAGTGGTAGATAGAGTGCTAGTCTTGAGCTGAAGAGCTGAGGGATAGTGCCCAGGCCCAGAGTTCAGGCCCCATGACCGGACCCCCCCCCAAAAAAAAAGAGAAAATAGATAAGCAGAGAACACACTGTGGATAGAGTGGCAGTCTTTATTCTTTCAATAAAATTCTTTACACTCATCCTTCATTGTCCTGGACTTAACTGGTGAACCCCTGAGACAAGAAGCTGAGGAGGGAGCCAGACACTGATGGCTCACATGTGTAATCCTAGTTGCTCAGGCTGTGATCTGAAGACTGCAGTTCAAAACTACTCCAGGCCGGGCACCGGTGGTTCATGCCTGTAATCCTAGCTACTCGGGAGGCTAACATCTGAGGATCGCAGTTCAAAGCCAGCCCGGGCAGGAAAGTCTGTGAGACTCCTATCTCCAATAAACCACTAGAAAACCAGAAGTGGTGCTGTGGCTCAAGTGGTAGAGCGCTCGCCTTGAGCTGAAGAGCTGAGGGACAGTGCCCAAGCTGAGTTCAAGCCTCTGACCGACCAAAAAAAAAACTACTCCAAGTTTATAAGACTCTTAGCTTCCAATTAACTAGCAAAAAGATGGAAATGCAAGTGTAGCTCAAGTGACAGAACACCAACTTTGAACGAAAAAGCCGAGAGAAAGCCTAAGTCCTTGAATACCAGCACCAAAAAAGAACCAATGTAGGTTACTGGCAGTAGAGCTGGAATACTAGTAGGCAATGTCTGACCTGAGCTACAACCCTAGTAGTGATCTGCCAGCTGCTGAGCTAAAAGGGCTATGTGGGCCTGCCCACCAAGAGTAAAAAATTCGGAGAAAGAAAAAAATTCCCTCTATAAAAATTCGGAGAAAGATGACATTGGGAAATGGAAAGACCTTGAATGTTCATGGACAGGTACAATATTGTAAAAAAAAAATGTCCATACTGCCACAAATGATCTACAAATGTAATGCAATCCCCATCAAAATCTCAATGAAATTCTTTACTGACATAGAGAAAACAATTCAAAAATGTATATGAAACAAGTAATGCTAGTGGTATCACAAAAAATTGGCAAAAAAATTGACCTCAAGATCAATGGAATATACTAAAAGACCTGGAAATAAAACCATATAGAGGGGCTGGGAAGGTGGCTCAGTGGTAGAGCGCTTGCCTTGCATGCATGAGGCCCTGGGTTCAATTCCTCAGCACCACATAAGCAAAAAGAA